TTATTTACAGATTACATCAAGTATGTGTTCTAGTAATGAATAGGAGGCGATAAAAATATCTCGAGAACTATATGCATAAGCGGTGGGAAGTCTTATGTATGCAATAATTTGTACGAGACCAGATATTACTCAAGCAGTTGGTATGGTCAGTCATTTCATGGCAAATTCTGGTAAAGAGCATTGGAATAATGTTAAAAAGGATCCTGAGTTAGATGATAATAACCTCAACTGTTGCATTATGTTATGGAGAATAAGAGTTTATTGTTAAAGGATATGTTGATTCAGACTTTGTAGGTGATCTTGATAAAAGAAAATCTACTATAGGCTATATGTTTACTCTTGCAAGATGAGCTATAAACTGGTTATCCAAATTACAGACTCTAGTAACTTTATCTACTACAAAAGTTGAATATATGGCAGCTATTCAAGCATGCAAGAAAGCAATTTGGATTCAAAGGTTAATGGAAGAACTCGAGCACAAACAATAGTAATTATTGTGTATTGCGAAAGTCAGAGTTCCTTGCACATTGTAAGGAATCCAACCTTTCATTCAAGGAAGAAACACATAGGATTTCAATATCACTTTGTGAGATAAGTAGTAGAGGAAATGACCTTGGATATGTAGAAGATTCACACCAAGGAAAACGTAGTAGATGGTCATGACAAAACCAATCAATGCTAATAAGTTTATATGGTGTCGATCATCCTATGGTCTAATAGAAATGCAATCAGTATGGAACTAGAAAGAGAAGAAAGATTTTGAAAGACTCACCAAAAATGACTTTAAGTGGGAGATTGATGCAAGCACTTACGTATAAAGCCACTTTGGTGGCTAAAATACAAATCATACTGTGAACACCCAATTTTGTCCCAAAATTTTTTAATGACAAAAAAAAAATAAAAAAAAATAAAAAATAAAAAGAAAAGAAAAAATTTAAGTTATGAACACATATTTTTGTCTTTCAATAAAAAAAGGAAAAGAGCAATCAAATAGATGGAAAAGGGAAGGGGGACCATTTCAGAAAAATAACAACTTTGAGTAGGACCTGTTCCAGTCGCGATATCTCCTTCATCCACCATCCGATCGAGCTGAAATTTTTTTTAGCAAGATCCTGACTCATTGTCCTTATATTGACCAGTGGATTTCTTGATTCGATGTCTATATCATTCCCAGAAAATTCAAAAACGGAAAAGTTCTCCTGGACATTTCTACAGCGAGCAGCAATTTTGTGAAGGCCATTTCTCCCAAATGAACCATTGTATCATTCTCAAATTTTGTCAGCATGTTCCTCTCATGTAATATTACAATCTGACTGGACAGATTTCTGAATTGAGTTATCTGGTGTGAGATATAAATGTCGAAAAAAGGATGTTCGTTTTTAAGACTACCACACTATTTCGGGTAGCAGTTTTTCGAGAGCTATTTCTCTCAATTGAACCGTTGGATCATCCTCAAATTTGGTCGGCATATTCCTCTCATATAATATTTGAATCTGACCGGACCGATTTTCAAGATAAGCCCTCTAGTGTGAGATATGATTGTCGAAAAATGTTGTCCACATTGAAAAAAAATAACTTTTCTAAGAAGTTAGCTTGGTTTTAATCTCAAGCCCAATTATCTTTTAGTAAATATTACTATGACACAAGCTTTAATATAAAGTCCAAGTGTCTTTTTATTTTTTGTGATTTTGTTATATTTAAGAGTGTGTGTGTGTCTGTGTTGGAAGGAAGGGGAATGAGCTCTTTATATAGAAGGAATGGAGGAGGAATTTTGAGTAGAACTATGGGGGTTTGTTATTTAGCCGTGACAGCTTGTTAAACTCTTTTTACATTTTGGGGCATCAAGCTTGTTGAGTTAAAGCAGCTCTCTACAACTTGGCTTTGTACATCAAGTTTTGTCGTCTTTGAGGTAAGTCTGTTTATCTTCTCCTTTAGTTAATAATTATCTATTTTTGTAAGCTTTTTCATGCTCTTTATTTGCTTTATTAGTTTATAATTGTCTGCTTTTTTTGCTCCTTATTTGTTTTTTTAATTAATAATTGTCTATTTTTTGCATGCTTTTTTTATGCTCTTTATCTATTTTATTAGAAATTTTCTTATAATTGTTTATTACTTTTGTATGTTTTTGTGCTCCTTATTGTTTTATTAGAATTTTTCTTATGTAGTTTAGAAACGTAATTAGGGATCATTTTAGCCGTGACAGCTTGTTCATCTCATATTTTTTGGGTCATTTTGGTTTGTGACAGCTTGATGACCTAAGCTAGTTTTAAATTATTATTTATATTAATTTATTTATTTTTTCTAATTAAGGATTAATTTAGCCGTGACATCTTATTAATCTCGTAGTATTTTTTGGGTTATTTTAGTTATGACAACCTGAAGCCTTAAAAATGAGTTTATTTTAAATTATTTTCAAAAATTAAAACCAACTAGTACACAAATATTTTTTTTAAAACGATGTAGTTTTGAACTCTTGACTGCAAGCTAAAATAAAATTACTTATTTTTCATAATAAAGGGTTAACTCAGTTGAGACAGTTTGTTAATCCTGCAATTATCATTTCAGATTATTTTAGTTGTGACAACTTGGTAATCTAAAACTTTTGAATCTGAAACTTCTAAATATAAAATTAAAATAATCAGCACACAAACAAAAAGAACGACATAGCTTTGAATTCCTCACTGCATCGGAGGATACGTCAGAGCAGAACTTTTTTCTTCAAGTTTAAAATAAAGTTTAACAAATTATTTTTCTTCTTCCTAAATAAATATATTTATGTTTTAAGGGACAGAACAAATATTTTTAAAAGCTATTAATAATTCGCACAATTAATTTAAGGTAACTGTTTTTAAGCGGATGTGTTAGGGGTGCTTTCCTCCACATAATTAGACTCCCGAACCTTGATCTAAAATTTTAAAAGACCAGTTTGCAAATAAAAAGTTTTCCAATTTTTTCAAATCAAATAAAATTGGTGACAACTCTATTATTTTAATTTTTAAATTCGGGTCGTTACACATACACTATTCATTTGAAGACTTTGAATGCACAAGATACCGTGCAATACACAAAATTTACACGAAAAGAATGCAAAATGATTCAAATCCTTCCGCCTATATATACACTCCATTCCCTTCAATTCTAAGCATCCCAAAACTAAGAAAAAAATAACTCAATGTCTTTTGAGTGCTATTTTGAGTAAGGTGTATTCTTCTAATATAAAAGAGAATTATATTGTTCTCTTCTTGTATTTAGAGGGATGTTATAATTTCTTCCATATAGTAAAAATCTTCTTTGATCTTGCTTGTGATTTTTTTCAATTGTATTTTTCACATAAATCTTGTGTCACTTCAATTGTCGTATTTGCTTATCTCTTGACTGGTGGAATTAAGATAAAGTTAATTAGATCGCTTTTGTCTAAAAAAATGGTTAAAAAGAATAACCTTAAATTTAATAATTATTTAATTAGTCACTATTGCAATTACACGGAAAAACTCCCACTTCCACTTGCCTGGCCAATTAATATGATTGTCAATGTTTTGGAATTCCTATTTCTCTTAACTCTATTTTAAGTGGATGCTACTCTTAGCTAACAAACACCTTCTAGGGTAGTGTTTGTTTAAGGAGTTTTGTAGATATTCCTGGGAAGTGATTTTGACTTTATCATTTTTCCGTATTTGGTTCACGGTATCATGATTTTTGCCCATCAATATCAGATGCATAGCTATCTCAAATTGCACGTAAGAAAGGAAGAAAAGACTATTCAAGAATCCAACAAATTAGGTGGGATTGCATCTAAAAATCGGATAAGTTAACACGGTACAAAACAGTGACACTACTACCCCTTAATGCAGTGGGACAATTGGTTGTATAATTTTGTAAAAGGATAATTTTGTAATTTCAATAAGTTTTCCCATCAATATTTTATATTCAACCAAACACACATTCAGAAATTTTACTCAATTTTTCTGGTAAAATTTTGCTCAACCAAACAATTTTTTTAAAATTTTCCTATCTAATTTACTTTCTCTGCAGATCTTTAGTATTTACATTTCTCTAGTATTACAAAATTTCTTCTCAACCAAACACTATCTTAGAAGGTGCTTCAATCCCAATATTACAAAATTACAACAACACATTCTCTTCCGATTATTTTTTTTTTTTTTTGGACACAGGATTTCTCTTCCGATTTTGATATAATTATAAGTCCTTTACCCTCATATGCCAATATAATCTAATGATATTTTCTTCTGAATCGGATATAATTATAGGATCTTTACCTTAGGAACCAATTTAATTTAATGACATTCTCCACTCTAATAATGCACACATCCATTGTGTCAACGGAACACTGCTGAGAAGACTTTGAGCAGTGGACTATTATTGTTCAGGTAACTACTATCAACATTTCCAATCCATTCTCGTATTGATATAGGTATTGGAAAGTTAATTTTTTAACAATTTTTTTTTCTTTTATATTCTGTTGTTTGCACTTACTATATTGTAAAAAAAAAAAAAGAAAAAGAAAATAAAATTCTCTTTTAAGAGAAAATTAACATGCTATCAGTGTAACACAACAATGATTCAGATTCAAGGAGATGCTGATATAAGAGAGGAATAGGGCAGTTTGAAAACGAAGGCCATATGAAATTAAGAAGAATAATATTCTTACTACTAAATTTTTTTACTACTAATTTACTACCTATCTAATCACTATTGAATCAAAGAGAGAATATTAAAAAAAAATTGAAAAAAGAGAAAATGTTGATCTAATAGTTATTAGATAAGTAGTGAGTTAGTAGTAGAAAATTTTGATAATAAGAATATCCCTCGTCAAGGTTTGGCGTTACAATGAACAACGCACGCACCTCCAAGAAAATAACGTGTGAAGCAAACTAACGTTAAAACGGAAGCGTGTTTATTATTTATATTTTATCAAAACCAAACATGAATATTAAAAGTTCACAATTAACGTCAATAATGAAATTTTGCCCACAATCAAAGCAAAGTCACCACTCCAAAATCAGTGGCAAACCCCATAATCAGATGGCCACAACAGTACAAGTACAACACAATGTCACCACTCTTTCTAGAAAACCCGGTTCTGTTATCTTTCTCCTTTTTCTCAAACATAACATAAAACCCCATCATCACTTTGAATCTTCATTGAATCCTCTCTTACTCTTCTTCTTCTAGGTTTGGATTATTTTTCTCTAAGCTAATCCTCTCTTGAATCTGAAGTTTCCTTAAACTTGCACTCCAAGTGTGTTCTGTTCCTTTTATGTTTCTTATATTTGTGTATCTAATTTTGGGATGACATAGATCTTGGCTTGGACACAGTTTGCAGAGAAGTAACAAAAAGTATAGCGAAAAGAACAAGCTGAATTTAAATCTAGGTTAAATCTGAATTGAAAATTTGTTTTTTTTTTTCCCCCTTCTGAGTTCCAATAGCAATAGAGGTAACTTGTAAAGAGATTGAAGGTTGACTAATGAAGAAGAAGTTTCCTCAACTTTTTCCGCCTTCAAAAATTGTTCCTTTCTGATGAGGGAGTAATCTGAGTCTGTTGTCTTGTCTGCAGGTGGGTCCCAATTCCCCAAACCAAATATTTATAATATCGTATGTTTTCTATGTAGCTCCCAAATCAAAATCTTTGGCATTGGGCGTGGATTGATGCTGATTTAAATCATGCATCTTTGGTTGAAAACCATGTTTTATCCTGCAGAAAACATGGACCCCCCCTTTTTGGGTATTGTTAGCTATATACTTGTTAAGAAGGTGGTTTTGGTTATGTTGCTGAACCGTTCTACTTCTCATTGCTCCGTTCTTATCTTCTAAAGATTTGTGGGGTTCTCTGCAGGAGCTGAACACATAGAGATCTTGGTTCTTGCCCTTGAAGTGAAACAGTTTCAAAATTTTGATTTTGTTTTAGCATTTCCACAAGAGTATGAGGAAAAATGCTGGTTCTCATTCAGGAAGGATGTTTAGTGACAGGACGTGGATTATCCCCTTTTTTGCAAGTTTGCTGGTGTCTATGAGTCTAGTTCTGACAGCTATTATTGGGGCACTTAGTTCTTCTGGTGGTGGAGAGGAGTCACCGTTTGACATCATTTCATTCCCGGGATCAGGGGATTCCAGTGGATATTTTGTGGAATCAGATTTTGAAAGGGCTTTTAATGCTAGTGAGGCTGTGAAAATGGAGGTACCTAGGTTTGCATATCTTATTTCAGGCACCAAGGGTGATAGTCATAGGATGATGAGGACATTAGAGGCAGTGTACCACCCAAGAAATCAATACATCTTGCATTTAGATCTTGAGGCACCGCCCCGGGAAAGGTTGGAATTGGCAAATGCAGTGAAAGCTGATCCATTATTTCGTGAAGTGGAGAATGTGCGTGTTATGTCTCAATCCAATTTGGTAACTTATAAGGGTCCTACGATGATTGCTTGTACCCTCCAAGCTATTGCAATATTATTGAAGGAGAGTTCGGAGTGGGACTGGTTTATAAACCTCAGTGCCTCAGATTATCCTCTACTGACACAGGATGGTTAGTAATTGATCCTTTTTCTGGTTCTTGATGTTGTCTGTTGTGTTATTCCTATCAAAATGCTTGCATAAACTATGGCCTTCTTGGTTGTGGAAGGATATAGTGAGCTTTTACAAACTTGTCCTCCGGGTTTAAACACATGATGCTGTTCCACTAAGGTTTTAAAAATTTGAAAACCAAATGTAAAGTAATAGTTAGGCTGCTACATAATTTAAAATTTTAAACTGTGGCCTTTCGTTTTTTATCATGCTGCTGAGCACTACACTATTGTTTTGAGGACAGAAATGATTATTAAAGTAATTAAGACAGGAAAGATTATTGAAGTTCATCCATCTCTTGATTATTGTTGATGTTTCTGGATGGATCTCTATGTAACATCACACAGGTTTGTTTATTGTTGATGTTTATTTGCCTAATTTTTTGTTTTGTTTTTCTCTGTAAATCTATTGTTTGATTATTCCGGGAAATTCTCTTTCTAAGCCTCCTTTTAATCTTCCGCCGTGTCCATTCTGGCCTAAAGCTTAGTTATTTTCTGTAATTCAGGGATGAGTCATGTTCATGAAATAATATAAGACAGAAATTAGCTAGCTCGTGTAGCCTCTTTAATGTGCTTAAGGGTAATACAGTCTAAAAGTGGTGTAAACCTTTATAATCCTGCTTTGGTACTATAAATGTGAGGGATGTTGATTTGAATAACTCTCCATAAGTTAGTGTTTTTCTAGCTCCACTAAGACAACAACAATAACCAAGCCTTATCTCACTTGATGGCAAATGTTGAAGTCTTGCTATTGAAGATTTTGTATGCCTTGTCACTAATACTGTTGCTGTTGGATTTCCTCCCTGTGCTTTTCATGTAGATTTTTGAGCAATATGTCTGGATCAAGGTCATTTTTGTATTTAATACCTGATGGATTACATTCATGAGCTAGGGCTTCTAGCTCAGATGACTAAGCAAGGTCTTTCAAGATCTTTACACTACAGCAGATATTAGATGGTGCTTCTTTTCCATAAATAGTCCCTTTTTTTCTGAAAGGTCTGAATCTTCTTTTCCACAAAACTTCCTGAGCACTCTGATATATGCGGCTTTGCCTATTCTAAAGTGAGTTTGTCTCTAAAGAGAGCAATTAAGGGTATATCCAACCTTGATTTAGTTTTTAGTATATCATGATCTTAACTCACTAAAATTAAGGATGGATAGACACTTATTTGCTCACTTTAGAGGAGCTTTTGCCAATCTAAGCAGTTGCTGAATCTTCTCAGAAATCGTAACTTCAATTATGAATATATGTGGGACATGGGTTAAAATGATTAGGTTTATTCTTTTCATGACAAAATCCATTGTACTGCCGGAAATTATGGTGAAGTATGAGCTGGACAAAAGTGTCCCTCTAAAGTAGATGGTTTAAATTCATACTACAAGTCTAAACTTGTGTTGGATGGGTGTCAAGCACAAAATTGATTCAGTTTTGACCCCAATAAAATTTTTAGTACCTGAATAAGTGTATATGACAATTTGCTTGGCAGTGTTCTGTAGTCAATAACTTATGAGTCTTCTGGTGTCAGCATCTTCTGTGCTGCAAATACATTAAGTATATTCTATCTTAATAAAAATCAAGATTCATATAGCTCATACCATGCTGTTCAGAGTTTGTAAGTTTGATTGAATTGCATAGATATATCAAGTCAAACGCGCATGAATTTTACTCCTTCTTGAACCTTCTAGATGCTCTATGAAGTCATCTGATATTTGTTTCATGCTTTTGCAGATTTGCTTCATGTTTTCTCTAATCTGTCAAGAGATCTTAATTTCATCGAACATACAAGCCTTACTGGTTGGAAACTGTAAGTGAATTAGTGTTACACATCTGCAAATTGCTCTAAATTATATAATTTCATCGAACATACATGCATGCTTTTTCTGGTTTACACTATCGGTTGACTGAAATTTCTTTATATTACTGTTTATATGGTCAGGAACCAAAGAGGAAGACAGATCATTATTGATCCTGCCCTTTACTTATCAAAGAAGTCTGATTTAGCATTCACTACTCAACGAAGAACAATTCCCACATCTTTTAAACTGTTCACTGGTATGTCAATATCTATAATTCTATATACATTCATTACTTTATTTTATACTTCATAGTTAAACTGACGGGCCTTTTTGAGGTTAGCAATGCTAAGATTGTAAAAGATCTAGTTAGATAGCCTGATTTCATTTGTTTGCTATCAGATACGCAATCAACATGTTAGATACCTATATTTTTGTCTATGTTGTGTGAACAGGTTCAGCTTGGGTTGTACTGACCCGGTCCTTTGTAGAATTTTGTATATGGGGATGGGATAACTTTCCACGGACTATGCTTATGTATTATACAAATTTTGTCTCCTCGCCAGAGGGATATTTTCACACTGTCATTTGTAACACTGAGGAATTCCGGCATACGGCGATAAGCCATGATCTTCACTACATTGCTTGGGACACTCCCCCAAAGCAGCATCCCATTTCTTTAACTATGAAGGACTTTGACAAAATGGTTGAAAGCAAGGCTCCCTTTGCCCGAAAGTTTGCAAAGGATGATCCTGTCCTAGACAAGATTGACAAAGAACTTTTGGGGCGCACACATAGATTTTCAACTGGGGCATGGTGTGTTGAGACCTCAGATGGTGGGGCAGACCCTTGTTCTTTACGAGGCAATGATACAGTTTTGAGGCCAGGCCCTGGTGCTGAGAGGCTGCGTGAGCTGCTTCAGGTGCTTTTATCTAAAGAATCTCTGAGCAAGCAGTGTTTGTGACAAAGGGGTACCCTCCAAGTAGGAATAATGTCAAAGTGTACATATGTGTGGTTTTAGATCATATATATCTGATGTAAAAGGTCAAAGTTTTGTGTTCAGATATAGGTTCATTGTAAGAAGCAACAAACACTAGAGCAGTAGTTTTTCGGTGCTTGTTTCGGTTTAGTTGCGCTATTGGTTGCAATTCCAGCCAACCATTTATGCAATTACAACTTTTTTCTTTGTTGAGTTATACGAGGCAATTAAATTTCACACTAGTGGACTTTTAATTGGTTATCTATTTTCTTATGGAGAAATTCTTGGGTAACCAATGCCAGTATAGGTACTTTATTCAACATTAAACGTGTTTAAGATTGTGTAGATCATGTTAAAAATATACCTGTCAATTGTTGAACGGAGTGTTTCTGATAGCAGTACGTAAAAGAATTTCTCCTTCTTGTGCGATGATAACAATTTGTTAGCAGACAGATATTAGGCTCAAGTTTTTATTTTTATTGTTATATATTTTTTTTCTGTGATCATTTCTGGAGACAAGTCCATGATATATACTTTTTCTCCTTCCAATCCTTCGACAGCACCCAGCATTTTAACTTGCATATGCATTGTGGGGTTTGTATGCTTTAGGACCCAACAGCATGCAAAGTGCAAACTCTTTCAGTTAAATCCTTGCCATGAGCAAACAACATTGGCTCTCCCGAGCACTAACCATCCTTGCAATCCTTCTGATTTTCTGTACATCTGTGAACATGATTGGTATGTTGTAGACCGCAACCCAAGGGATATGATATGCCTTTAGTTCAAACTTGAAGGCATAACAGGTCCTTCACCTGGGTTCGTTGCTAGGACATTAGTCATCAAACATGGTCCACCATGCCCCCATTGGATCCGTACATGAAATTAAGGTAAGGTACTTTCTGAAATTTTTGCTCCTGTCGACTTTACTACATGTGCCCCAACCTTAAATCCTTTATTTTCCCCCCTAAATACACATTAAGAAGTAATAAGATATGTCTTCTCAAAGATACTATTTTTTTTAAGCCATTAGGGTTAGTCTAATAGTAGGAGGTGTGGATATTTATGTAATAGGTCGTGTGTTCAATACTTCAATGTATCAAAAAAAATTATTTAAAAAAAAAAAAAATGTAGACAAAAATAAAGAATAACGAGGTGATGTAAATTTCGAACCTACCTTGGAAAACACAATACTAGGTTATATAGATACATTTTAGGAAGAGTAATGCTTCTTATACATCAACCACTACTCACACCTCTTCACATCAACATAAGTGACAAAATCAAAGTGTCTGGTGTGGAAAATTTTTATTGGGACTTCAGCAATCACGTGGTGAAAAGTGTGTTAATGAAAAGCAGTGTGTGCATAAGTGTACATCAGTACATAAATTAACCTTATTCTTTTGGGAAAACTAAATTACGATAGGAGTATTTCAAATCCCAGTCTATTATTGGAATGTATAATTTTGCAAGTAGTAACCTTGCCAACTAATTTACAGGTATCAATAAGTTCGGGTAGAGGTGTGTATGGATCGAATTGAACATAATTTTTTGAAAAACTGAATCGAATTAGTTTAAATAGTTCGATTCGAAAACAGTTCGATTTGGTTCAAAATCGGTTCGATTCAGTTCGAAACCGATTTAAGTCAACCCTATTCTGAAAAGAAAAAAAAATTAAAGAAATAAAGTACTAAAAACTAGTTCGGTTCGGTTCAGTTTGAAAATAATTCGGTTCATGAACTGGTTTTGAAAATCAGTTCGATTCATGAACTGATTTTTAAAAACCAATTATTTTAAGTACAATTCAATTCGATTCACAGTTCAGTTTAGTTTTTTGGTTATTTTGCACATTCATAATTTCAAGTTCATCCATCATCATATATTGAGTAGCACATTGTTCATTTTGAAGGATATGAATTGGAAGACTTGTAAGAAACAAGAATGGAAATTCACCAAATGACCAAAACCTTCCTAAGCATGATAAAGTAATCTTCCATCGCCAAAGTTACTTGGAAAATCATCCATACAGGAAACAAAGGTTCATTGACACCAAATTCTCTCCTCAAACAACGGGGCTTAGCTTCAAGTAACTTGGAACTATTTCATCTTGTGAAAAGTCCGTAAAGTGTCCCCTCCCCACAGAAAGTCCCTCTTCCCTTGTAAGGCGCTCAACTTCTTGTTGCACTCTTTCTCCAACAATTTTATTTGGATTCAATAAATTACTGGCTACCTCAATGAAGTCCATAACCTCTCCCATTAACCTGTTTTACAAATTCTACGAACAGCACCAATATCAGAAGATAATAAAGGGGCACTATAATTATGAACCCAAGCGGTTGTTCCAATGACCACAAGACCTTTTGCTGGAGTCACTTGAGCTGGACCACTATCTGGCTTCAGTGGCAATATTTCTGATTTGTCCCAACCCCCCACCGGTTTTCACTTGAATTTGGCTTGAAATAACCAAATATTCTTCTGATTGAATAAAGTGTCCTCCCCCTTTTCATGCGCTGCTACATATAGAAAAGTAGGAACTGCAGGGAATTTAATGTTAATTTATAGACAAAATATATAAATTTGGAAAAATGATCTACATACCAAAGATAGTTCTAGTGTGGGATTCAGTCATTTACGAACAAGGAAAAATCCAACAAATAAAATTTTGGAGCATAAGAGTGGCAGTGGTGAAAGAAGGTAATTTTGTGACTTAACTACACATTGTGCATTCTCCTGAATGGCTAGAAACACAATGAATCGATGACATTTTGCTTTGTTGTAACAGAAATTTTCAGCCTTTTCCTCAAGAGATAACATTCTCCTTCTACATACAATAAATATCATAATATGTAGCCCCAGCCATGCTACTAAACTTGCAGACTAGAGCCCACTTCAGTAGCTAAAGATCTTGCATCAGCCATGGGGTGGAAACATAAGTGGTCCACAACTCCAAGTCGAGGATGAGCTCCAAAGTGCAGCAGAAAAGCAGCCTTCACCATGGCAAGTACAGCACATATCAAGTGACATGGACTTCAACATTTTCATTTCAATTACCACCCTTCTCAGAGACTGCCCAAGAATGTGGACTGAGACAACAGAACCACAGACCATAAAAAGCAGTAGCCAAAGTGATTTTTGGACCACAAACCAACCCCATCTCAAATCATCAATAGAGTTCCAATCTTTAAATAGACATATACTAAACCTTCACATGTAATTTTCAAATTTTGTAACAAGTTACCGCCTTTACTCAGAGGTAGCATATTTAGCTATGCAAATGTCAATAGCAATACAATTTTTTTTTTTTAGATATTCCAATCAATTTATCGCTTCGTGACTAGTCCGATTCGGGACGGGTTCCGAGATTAAGGTTTTAAACCCCTTTCAAAAACGATATTGGGAAGAATCGAACACATGCTCTCACCCCAAACTGTTCAATTTCCTGACACCAACTGAGCTATCATCGTTTGGTTCAATAACAATGCAATAATCCCCAAAAAAAAATGAAAAAAAATAAAATAAAAAAATGCACAGAAGTAAAAGAATAAAAGGAGACATTATTGTACAAACATTCTCTACACAACTTGTCCATAGATTAAGCTAATAAACAATTTATATATCTTCATTATGCAATTGTCTGTAGAAGGATAACTTGTAATCTATTTATTCACTTACTCTACCCAACTTAGTATCAATCTACACAAGAATTTTTCTCGATAAGGGGATTGAATCCATGTTAAAAAAGACATGACATGATCATGTAGAATGATCATAAACATACAAACGTAGATAAATAGTAATAAAAAGAGTAGTGAGAAAAAACTAATAAATAGTTACAAAATCATATAACGGTTGATTCACCTAGTTATAATTGTCAACATAACCATGTCATGTTTTTTTTTTTTCTTAATTCCAAAAACTAACTGAACCTACCCAGTAACCAACTAATTCGTGGAACTTTATCGTTTCCAAAACTGAACCCTAATTTTCGCCAAAAAAGAAAAAAAAAAAAGTTTTGTTTTTCAGTTCAAAAAATCAAAACTGAATATCATTTGGCTCAGCAGAAGATTTTGGATAGCCAATATAGTCAAGTTTAACGTGCAGCGAAGAAGAAACCATCTTGAACTTGAGCCTGAGGGCATCCATGATCTCTTGAACTTGCAGATTCTCTGGATCCATAAGAGGGTATTTGTGAATCAAATCTTCCATCTGGGCGATACCCGTTTTGGCCCTTGAAGAGAATCGGGTCGGGTCGATCCGGATGGCGGAGTTCCAGATTTGGACGCAGCCCATGTAGAAACCGAGCTCCTCGCCGACCTCGAAACCGACCTTGAGTCCGACCTGCTTGGCTTCTTCTTTGCCGGCGATGAGGCCGTCGCTGTAGCCTTCGTCGTAGCCTTCTTTCAAATGGGTTTCCTCCAAATTCAGCGAAGAATCGAACATGTCATCCATTACCACCAAAATTCACAAACCTGCTCCAAACACAGATACTCAGTGAGTGAATATGAATGGTTTGGGAATGGGATAAATTTTTTTTTTTTTTTTGTCAATTTACACATTTATATCGTTTTAAGTGAAAGTATTATATTTTTGTAATTTTTTTTTTAATTTTCTCTCCTTTATAGTATTCGTTTTTTTCCCTCTTAATTATATGAAAAAGAAAAAAAATAAAAATTATTAAATATACATTAAAATATAATAATTTTATTTAAAATAATACAAATTTATGTTCTAAAATGTCAAATATTTTTTTCTTTTTATAAATATTGTTTTTTAATTTTTTTGGTAATCTAAATATTGTATTTTAACTTGAGATGTCAAGTGTACTGTGCGGTACACTTTGTTTGTATTTAATTTTTAATTCTTATTATTTAGTTTGTAATTTAAAAATAATAATAATTCTGTATCCTATTAGGAAAATTATTTTATGATGAAACTGAATAGAACTTTTTTTATTATTTGAGAAAGAAATAGAATGAGAAAAAAATAGTGAAATAATAAATTATTTTCTTATTAGACCTTTTAAATTAAAGGAAAAAAATATGTGCATCTAATGAAATGAATTAAATTATATCTCGTTTTATTATATTTTATTTAATTTCAAACAATTTAAATTATGACTAATGTAGTTTTATTCCTTTCTATCAATCCAAATATATCTCTTGTATATTGATGTTGGTCAAAGTCATTATGTTAACATGTATTCTAGACCAGTATAGCGGTCATAAGTTCTAAACGATTAGTGATAAGGTTGATTTAAATATGAATTATCAAAGTAACTATAATTCCTCAGTGTGAGGGGTAGACCGCAAATAAATCTTAGGTGCTTGCATTTAGATTTAGTGCATTCTATCAATAGGAGCATTACACATCAGAAGAAAGAGAAAGAATTTGGCAGAGGAAAGAGATTTTTGGCTGACATGTAATGTTTTTATTGGTGGGATGTACTAAATCTTTGGTGCAGCAGTAACACTAAAAATTTATTCGTACATTGCAAAGATTCTCGGTACTATTATTGAATTAAAAAAATATGAATTATCATTTCTTATTCATAAGGAAGCTCTACCCCGGAGTGAATATAATGTGATCCGGGACCAATGCACCGCTTGAGAGAGTGAGGGGAGGAGTGAGGGGAGGAGAGAGGAGAGAGAGAGGAAGGAGAAAGAGAGAGAAGGGGACTAGGGAATAAATTTCCCTACCCTTGCCCCATCACAAGATGTGGGTATATCCTATGTTGCACCGACACCGACACGGGACACGAGATACGATACTCCGACACGTTAATTTTAAAAAATGTTAAATTTTGACACGTTAGGACACATTTTGATATTATATAATATTTTTAATTTATGTAGTGTATATTATATTTAATATTCAATAATTTAACAAAAAAATAAAGTTAAACTTATAATACCCATCAATTTTGCAAATAAATATAAGATATCTCAAATGTTTATATTAAACTCAATAAAATAATAACCGTAATCCAACGAATCTAATAGTTGGAACTCAAAATGCAATGCAACGTAATCTTTGAACCTGTTTTGAGTCTTTGCAACGAGTATTGTAGTGTCGGAAAGTGTCGGAGTGTCGGGAAGTGTCGGACACGACACGTTAGGGATTTTGAAGTGTCGGTGCTTCATAAGGTATATCTAACGTTTATCATTTATAAAATATGATTATTTTATTTAAAATGATAATTTTTTTTGGTAAAAAAAATGAAATTTTTCTGTCTTAAATAATATGAATAATCATAATTTTAAAAAATAAAAATTAAAAATGATAAATTTGTGACTAAAAAAAATTAACTGGTTACATTTTTCAAAAAAGGAATTTGGAATATACTTTTCCAAGTTATTTTGGGGCTGACTAGATTTATTTATTTAGTTATACGTCCTTTTTTTTGAGAAAAAATAAAATTGTATTAACTCAAATGATTTACAAAATAGACGAGGCATACCCCGCTACAGGAACCAACAAGAACAAATGTATCAAGTGCGAGTATCTAAAAACGAAAAATTTAATCTTGTCAATTACATCTTTTTCAATAAGGGGAAAAATCTCAAAAAACAACAAGGTTCGAGCCATCCAAGTGCAATAGAGTGGTGGCTAATGCCAAGCAACGAGTTTTCCCCATACGGCTTGAGATCGCCCACCCATGAATGACTCTGTTGATGGTGCCTTGCAGAAAGATGGTGCGTCTAATTAAGGGGGAGTCAGCCACAGATGGTAGCCCATATGCGAAGGGTGATGCTGCACGAGAAGAAAAGGTGGTTGTGGCTCTCAACCTTAGTGTTGCAAAGAGGGGAGAGAGCCTCTGTTTAGAAACTCCGCTCTATCAACAGTAAGCAGTCTCTTCTTTGTAGCAAGCTAGAGGATGAATGAAAATTTAGGAGGTAGAGCTGCATTCCACACAATGGAGAACCATTGAACTAGCAGCTTGCTGGCACAGATATAATCATAAGCATTGTCAGCAAGGAGCTGGTCAATATGAAGCTAAGAATCAAGCTTTTGCTTTGCCGCCTCCACATGACCCTATTTGTGTTTTATCAAGTCACGAATGAAGGCAATCCTCTTAAGTAGAAAAGAATCAGAACCACTGCGGTGGAAAATCCCAAACCGAACCACCTTTGAAATAAAAGTGATACACCCGACGAACTCACAACGAATCTTTCTTAGAATAGAGATCCCAAAGGACAAGAGAGAGAAGAGCCTGATTCCAAGATTTGAGGCAAAAGAGACCCAGGCCACCCTCTCTTTTTTTGGAGCAAATTGCATTCCAAGACACTAAAAGCTTCTTATTGCCCATATCAGATTTACCCCCACAAGAAATTTCTGCAAGAAGCGTTAATCCGATGAAGAACATAACTTGGAAGAGAAAAAACTCCTATCCAAAAATTTACAGTACCCTAGATAATAGCTCGAATGAGCTCCAATCTACTCGCATAAGAGGGAGTCTTGCACCTCCAACCCTGAACAAGCCTAGAAATTTGAGACAGGAGAGGGGCAAAGTGGTAAACATTCAACCTGGATTACATAAGAGAAATGCCTCCATCCTCTCGTGAGCTCAAGCATCTCAGTAAGGACATTGTTGTCAACATTCGTAGTGTTAATGCCATATTTTTCAGTGCTTATGGACAGACCAAAAACATCACAAAAATTCAAAAGCTTTTCATGGAAGGTAATAACATATAAGAGGATACCTTTGGAAAATATCATAATATCATCCGCGAAAGCAAGATGAGTCAAATGGACAACAACACATAAGGGATGAAAATTGAAAGTGATATTGTATTCTAGGCTCTTCAGGTCCCGCGAGAAATATTCCAAGTAAAGAACAAAAAGATAAGGAAAGAGGGGATCCCCTTGTTTCATACCTCAAGTTCTTTTAAACTGGCCATGGATCGAGCCATTCATAACCACACTTAAGGAAATGGAGGTGACACATTCCATGATCCAGGAGCAAAATTGAGTAGAAAAACCCGTGTCTTTAAGCACTCAATCAAGAAACTTATACACAGAATCAAAAGCTTTGTGAAGATCAACCTTCAACAAACACCTCAGAGATGTCCTCCTACGCTCATTCTTTTAGAGATGCTCTTGGAAGAGAAAAATATTTTCAATCATGTTTCTATTCTTTAAAAAGTAGATTGAGATTATCCAATAATATTCTCCCAAATAGGGGCAATCCGACTAGCCAACAACTTAGAGATGATTTTATATAATATGTTGCAACAAGAAATTGGCCTGTAATTACTCACTTGAGAGGCATTTTCATATTTGGGAACGAGGGCAAGAAGAGCATGGTTCACTTGTCTTAGAAGCTTGCTTAATAAAAAGAATTAATTGACTACTTCAAAAATATCATCCCCAATGATAGTCCAGGTCTTTTTGAAAAACAAAGCATTAAAACCACCAGGACTGAGAGATTTACTGTTGTCCATCCCTGCAATAATGTTCCAAACGTCTTGCTTAGAGATTGGGCTCATTATAGACTCAAAGCAGGCATGATCAATATTTGGACCAGAGTCACAAACAGTTTGGGATACAGGAGTAACCTGTCCTTGAGAACTGAGAAGATGCTTGAAGTGTTCAACAAATTTACTACCTATTTCCATTTAGGAGGTAGAAGTTTGACCATTTGATTTCTGAATACCAGGAATAAACCTCCATTGAGTAAACTCCTTAAGAACCTAGGAGATCCTTGAAGTGTTCATTAAATTCACTATCTATTTTCACCTGGGAGGTAGAATTCTGACCATTTAATTTCTGAGTAGCAGCAATAAATCTCTGATTTTTGTTTCTCTTTATCAAGGCATAGAAGAAATTAGAACATTTATCTGCCTACACAAGATATCTATTCTTCACAAGAGGAGCCAAAGACTTGGTTTCTTCTAAAGCTGGATAGCATGGTTTCTACTGAGATTTACCAATTCCAATTGGATAGCATCTATGGGATGTTGTTGCAAAAATTAAAGTTGATTTTTGTAATCAACCTCGGCTTGAGCCACACGGGTTGAGATGTTGCTAAACTCCTGTTTATAAAGAGTTTTCAGAGGACCCTTAAGAGACTTCAACTTTTTACAAACCAATAACCATACTTGTCAATAGCGGTAAGTAGCGCCGCTAAATCGCTACAGTAGCTGCGGCCGGCCGCCACAACCTGCGACGCGATGCTGGCCGGTAGCGGAGACGGCAGCGTAGCATCTTTCACAGGAAGAGAAGACGACGCTACAGGGATGCTACGGGAAAAGATGATCTTTTTTTAAAATTTGTTGATCCTTCAAAACGACGTCGCTTTCCCTTTGAAATGGGGGCAGTTTTGTCAAGCCAAGATTTTATTATTAAGGTCACAAACGAGGGACCAATTTACACCATAGAACACGCGCCAAAAGGAGAAAGAAAACGTGGCACCAAGAAGGGGTTGCAGAGAATGACATAGAGACAGAGAGCTTCGAACATGTTTTTTCCCCCTTCTTTCTTCCACTCTTCTCCGACGAGAGAGCCTGTATTTTCTG